ACTATTTGCAAAACATACATCTGACAGGGGATTGATCTCCATAATATACAAAGAACTCACACAACTGAACAACAAAAAAACAAACAACCCGATCAAAAAATGGGCAGAGGAAATGAAGAGACACTTCTCCAAAGAAGATATACAGATGGCCAATAGGCACATGAAAAGATGTTCAACGTCACTAATCATCAGGGAAATGCAAGTCAAAACAACACTAAGATATCATCTCACACCTGTTAGAATGGCTATAATCACCAAGACAAAAAACAATAAATGTTGGAGAGGATGTGGAGAAACAGGAACCCTCAAACACAGCTGGTGGGAATGCAAACTGGTGCAGCCTCTATGTGAAAAACGGTATGGGGATTCCTCAAAGAATTAAAAATAGAGATGCCCTATGATCCAGCTATCCCACTACTGAGAATCTATCCAACGAACCTGAAATCAATAATCCAAAGAGGCTTATGCACCCCTATGTTCATTGCAGCATTATTCACTATAGCCAAGAAGTGGAAGCAACCTAAGTGTCCCTCGACTGACGACTGGATCAAGAAAATGTGGTATATATACACAATGGAATACTACTCAGCCATAAAAATGACAAAATCATCCCATTTGCAACAACATGGATGGGCCTGGAGGGTATTATGTTAAGTGAAGTAAGCCAGAAAGAGAAAGACAAACACTGTATGATCTCACTCATATGTGGAATATAAACCAACACACGGACAGAGAAAACTGTATTGTGGTTACCAGGGGTAATGGGGGTAGGGGGTGGGCACAAGGGGTGAAGGGAGACATATATACGGTGATGGACAAACAAAAACGTACAACCCAAAATTTCACAATGTTAAAAACTATTAAAACATCAATAAAAAAAAAGTAGACTATTGGTGAACACGCAGTCTATACAGAAACTGACATATAATAATGTACACCTGAAATTTACACAGTGTTATAAGCCAATATGACCTCAATAAAAAAAATTTAAAAAAAATTAACTCAAGGTGCTGCCCTGGTGGTGTAGTGGTTAAGTTCATGCATTCCACTTCGGTGGCCTGGGGTTCACAGGTTCAGATCCTGGGCGTGGACCTACACACCACTCATCAAGCCATGCCGTGGTGGCATCCCATACACAAAGCAGAGGAAGATTGGCACAGATGTTAGCTCAGGGCCAATCTCCCTCAACAACAACAACAACAAAATGAACTCAAAATGTATTATAGATCTAAGTCTAAAGTGCAAAACTATAAAACATCTAGAAGATAACATAAGACAAAATCTAGATGACCTTGGGTATGGCAATGACTTTTTATATACAAAACCAAAGGCACAATCCATGAAAGAAATAACTGATAGGCTGGACTTCATTAAAATTAAAAACTTCTGCTCTACAAAAGACAATATCAATAGAATGAGAAGACAAGCCACAGACTGAAAGAAAATATTTGCATATTTGCAAAAGATACAACTGATAAAGGACTGTTATCTAAAATATATGAAGAACTCTTAAAACTCAACAAAAAGAAAATAAACCCAATTTAAAATTGGACCAAACACTTTAATGGACCCCTCACCAAAGAAGATATACAGATGGCCAAAAAGAATATGAAAAGATGCTCCACATCATACATCATCAGGGAAATGCAAATTAAAACAACAATGAGATACCACTACACACCTATTAGAATGACCAAAATCTGGAAGACTGACAACATCAAATGCTGGCAAGGATGTGGAGCAACAGGAACTCTCATTCATTGCTGGTGGGAATGCAAAATGGTGCAGCCACTTTGGAAGACAGTTTGGTGGTTTCTTACAAAACTACACATAATCTTACCATAAGAGCCAGCAATCAAGCTCCTTGGCATTTACCCAAAGGAACTGAAAACTTACATTTCCACAAAAACCTGTACATGGATGTTTACAGCAGCTTTATTCATAATTGCCCAAACTTGGAAGCAACCAAGATATCCTTCAGGAAGTGAATGGATAAATAAACTTTGGTATACCCAGAAAATGAAATATTATTCAGGAAAAAAAAAAGAAATGAGCTATCAAGACACAAAAAGACATGGAGGAACTTTAAATGCATATTTCTTAGTGAAAGAGGCCAGTCTGAAAAGGCTACATACTATATGATTCCAACTATATGACATTCTAGAGAAGGCAAAACTATGGCGACAGTAAAAAGATCAGTGGTTGTCAGAAGTTGAGGGTTGTTGGGGGAGAGGGATGAATTAGTGGAGCACACAGGATTTTTAGGGCAGTGAAAATACTCTCTGTGATGCTATAATGATGGGTATGTGTCATTATATTTTGTCCAAACCCATAGAATGTACAAAACCAAGAGTGAACCCTAATGTAATCTATGGACTTTGGGTGATTATGATGTGTCAATATAGGTTCACCAATTGTAAACAAATGCACTATTCTGGTGGGGGATGCTGATAATGGGGGAGGCTATTCACGTGCGGGGGCAGGGATGTATGGAAACTCTAATTTTCTCTCAGTTTTGCTGCGAACCTAAAACCGCTCTAAAAAAAAAAGTCTTTAAATATGCAAAAAAAAAATCTATATCTCATATGCCTGAAAAGAAACTAAGGGAACAAGTGAATGAATATCTTCAGTGTCCACGTAGGGGAGAAGGGAGAATGAAGAGAAGTAATCTGCTATTCTCTGAAATTGCTCCAGTAAGAACCAAAGAACTACAAGAGGAACTATGATGATAATCAAGAAATGAGTTCCTAGAGATGTGAGATATTAGAGAGAATAACTGAAGAAAGAGAAGAGTCTTCTTCCCTGGAAGCCCCTAAGAGATAAGACTAGCCAGTCAGGGCTACCCTGAGGAAGGGACAGAATGGTTCCTTAGGAAATATAAATCCATGCTAACCAGATGCCCTACAGGAATCTCCTAAAAGGAATTCTCAAGATCAATCTTACTTTTTTCTCTTCCTTCTCCTCCTCTACCTCTGACTCTTCCTCTTCTTTTTCCAAACAGGAATCTGGGCTGTTAGCTCCAGAGAGCATTAAGTCTAGAACAGGAATAAGAAGGAAAAGCTAAATAATTTATCCAATACAATAAGTGATGAGTTAATGGAGCTGATCCCAGATTACCATTCTTCTAACTCTGCCTTTCGTGTCCAAGTGGTATTTTTTCCATAAAACATGATCCTAGATTATCATGGTTCTACCCTTTTCAAAGTTCCATCACTATTCATCATGCACCCTCCCTCCCCACCCGCTTTTTGTCTCCATTCCCTTCTCCACCCATCCATCCATCCATCCATCCTGGACACCTGGTCAATGGCATTCATGGACAGCCTCCTATTATAGAATCCAGAACTAGGCTGATGACATTGGATATAAAATAAAGAAAATCTTCAGTTGCTGCCCTCATGAAGGAATCCCTCCCCTCCCTCTCTAGTCCTTATCCTACCTTTTCCTTCTCCACTATTGTCTGATCCATTGTATCGTCTCTGGAAACCAAACACGTTAACCCGCTCCTGAGGGAAGCAAGAAACAACAGCATCATCCACTAGTCTCCCAGGGGCTACTTTTGCCATCTGTCTTCAAGATTTTAGTTTTGGAATTTGGATTCATATTCTATACCATTTTCACTTGAAATTCCATTAGGTTTATCTAGATTTTTGTGGAGATTAACTATTATATTATGATATTGACAAATAATTATATAATATTATAACATATAATATTGTTATAATCTCTTTTTCTAGTTTATTTATAATTCAGTAAATAACTGGAAAGGGGAAATTCAGTTTGTCATTCTCCACCTTACCTCCAAAGGCAGAATTTGAGAGTAAAAACTGACTCTGAATTAAAGAGAGGTTAAGGTACATATATCTGAGACTTGAAGTTAAATAGGGAGGTAGGATTCCCCGTACCACAAACTGTCTCTGCCTGGGCTGAGAGAAGATCCCATTTGTCCAAGGGTAGGGAAAAAAATAGATGATTGAAGGAGTCAAGGGAATCTGGCTTGGGAAGAAAAGACTAGTTCTTTTCTATTTTTCTTTTTTTTTTTTTTTTGTGAGGAAGATCAGCCCTGAGCTAACATCTATTGCCAATCCTCCTCCTTTTTTTTTGTCCCCAAAGCACCAGTAGATAGTTGTATGTTGTAGTTGCACATCCTTCATAGTTGCTGTATGTGGGACAGGGCCTCAGCACGGCCGGAGAAGCAGTGCGTCGGTGCGTGCCTGGGATCGGAACCCAGGCCGCCAGTAGCGGAGCGCGCGCACTTAACCACTAAGCCGCGGGCCAGCCCAAGACTAGTTCTAATACTAAGACTGTAATGGGGAAGGACAAGCTGGTTTTCTACAGCAGGGAGTGTATGGTTTGCTTTGTGTCCCAAATCCCAGAGAGGAGCAGGTATGTGGTCTGAATACTCTCCTACCTGAATACTGGTCTTTTCTGCCTCTTGAGCCATCATCAGGGCTGCCCCCAGTTTCTGGCTACAGTCCTTGTTCCTGTACTTTTTCTGAAAGGGAAGAAGATTAGAGTCAATGAGAAATATAAGAGAAGTGACCCCAACATACTGCTACTCACCAAACATTATCTTTAACTACATTTATTTCTGGTTCCTGGTATTAATATGATACTTCTATTCTTAATCCTTTGAGCTCAGAGACACAAGCCTTCCCACCTTGCCCCCTCACCAAACCTTTCACCAATTCCTAGCAATGTTTTCAACCAACATTCTGGTGTCCTCTCCAAAGTAAATCCCATGGAAATTTTTTTTTTAATTTTATTTATTTATTTTTCCCCCAAAGCCCCAGTAGATAGTTGTATGTCATAGCTGCACATCCTTCTAGTTGCTGTATGTGGGACGCAGCCTCAGCATGGCTGGAGAAGCAGTGTGTCGGTGCGCACCCGGGATCCGAACCCAGGCTGCCAGCAGCGGAGCGCGCGCACTTAACCGCTAAGCCACAGGGCCAGCCCAATCCCATGGAAATTTGAAAAGGCAAGATTAAAGGAGTTCGGGTGATTACACTTTTAAGCTTCTCACAAGTTTCTTTAGATCCAATTGCTTGATTTAATACTCACTTCCTGATTTTCTAAGGCCCCTAAGATGCTGGGCCTCTGCTCATTTGTAAGGCTGGTTGAGCCCAAAATGATTATAGGAAGAAAATATTATTCAGTTAATTAATTTATATATAATTATATTATATATATTTACAATATATATATAATTTATATTTTATATTATTTAGTTAATATAATTTAGTTAATTTAGTGGGGGAGACTTTGCCCCCAGAAGATATTTGGCAATGTCTAGAGACACTTTTGGTGGTCACAACTAGGGGTGGGGAGTGCTACTGGCTAGATGCCAGTAGAGCCCAGGGATGCTACTAGAAATCCTACAATGCACAAGACAGTCCTCCACAACAAAGAATTACCTGGCCCAAAATGTCAACAGTGCCAAGACTGAGAAACCCTGAGTTAATCTGTGCCCTCATTTCTGCCACACCTGCTTTGGCTAAACTGTAGAAAACCAGCGTCTTTAGGAAGGTCCCTTACCTACAGGTGGGAAAGGACACTAAGAAAAATCATTATCCTGCTGCAATCCTAGTAGAAAGAAGCGTCCCTCATGTATAACCTTACTCTTGCACACTGGGTCAAACGTGAGACTTTCTCTTGACCCAGCTGCCCCTGGGAGAAAATCATGTTTAATAAAGGGAATATTTAGTTTTCAAGTTCCCTGACTGACCCCCGAGGGTTGCTCACCACTCCAGTTAACTCCAGGGACAGCTCCTGGAAGTTCTTTAGCATGTTGACTGGGATCCAAGCACGAGAGACTGTTTCCCCAAAAAATGTCACATGGTACTTAGACTGAAAGAAAAGACGTTTCTGTTATGGCCTCTTGTCCTTCTCCCTGCCTTAGCCCTCTAGCCAGAAAAGGCAAGGGAAGAACTGAGGATTCATAAGGAAGGAGGTGCTGGGCCTTGTCTGCTCCCTTATACCTGATGCACCTACCCCATCTCATTCCATTGTTCCATCCTGATCTCAGGAATCCTAACCAAAGCATATTTATCAAAACTACAAATATCCTAGTAATGAATAAATATTTAATTAGATTCAAGTTTATTTCTATATGTGAGTACTTATTTCTGTGTTTGTCACTCTAAGTATCTGTTTCTACTCGTGTCTGCTGGCCGTGGCTATGTTTCTAACTCTGCACATTTGCTAGGGTGATTTATTCATTACTTTGGCCTGAGCACCTACCTCCCCTGAAACAGGAAAACTCACCGGCAGGGAATCAAGATGAGAAGCAAAAAGAAAATATTCTCCCAGGTCAGGATCAGATTCTATCATGCCTGGCCACCTGGAGAAGATAGATGGGTATAAGAGATGAAAGAGAACGGGTTAGATGAACAGAACACAAACTCATCAATACACATGTACAGAAAGGGGCAATATATTTTGCAAACAAAGGATCCCAAAGATAGACTCCTCTGTCAATCTTATCTTTCTAGGCCTTCTGGCAACCCTGAGAACTAAATCTTCTGACTAGGGACATCATCAAAGAGGAAACTATCCTACCTTCCTTGTTCTCTTTACTTTGTATATCTCTCATATCACAATGTTTTAAAAATGCCTTGGAGCCACCCTCCTCTTTCTACCTACCCAGGGTAGAACTGTCAGATCCTTTTTTCCAGGGAGACACCACTTCTACTGTGAAACCTCTAGAAAACATGCTCTGTTAAAGCCCCCAAGCCTGTTACTTTATTTTCTCCCTCACCCCATGCTCTTTCTAAGGCAGGTACCATTTCCATTATAAATGCTTTCCATTTCCTTCTCTCCCTGCTTGAATCTATCACTCCCAAGTTCATGAAGGATTCTCTGACTATGCCATGGTGTCCTACCAGGGGTAACCATATTGCTTGGCCCAGATGATGGATCCTGGGATGTAGGAGGCATAGGCCACATCACTCTCATGCCCTGTCCAGGTCTCCTCAGCGACATCACAGCGATTATACTCCAAGTCTGCCCAAAAGAGAGAAGGAAGAAGGGGAGGAAAGAGCCTAATAAGGTGAAAATCTGGATGAGAGCAGGGGAGATGACAAGAAGAAACTAGTATATGCAGCAGGTGGGACCAAAAGGGCACCTGGGAGACAGGCAGGGAGGAAGAACAAAAACCCATGGAGGAAATGCAGTTACAGCCAGGAGAAGTAGGAGTGCTGCCTCCTTAGACTCTACAGAAAGAGATTCCAAACTTCTGTCTATAGCCCATGTTGTCTGACCCTGCTTCCAACTATGTAACATCATGACAGTAATTTCTCTGAGACTCTGTTTTCTCATTTGTAAAATAATTGGGCTGAACTAGATCATCATAATCTCTTCCAAGTAGTTTCAAACATTCTAGAATTCTAAGCCACTGGAACTCTCTCATCTGCTTTTCTCCACATCACTCATTTCCCTTCCTATCCACCAACCCAATACTAATAATCTAGTCAGGATTGACAGGGTCAGACCAATGCTGAAGGAGATGGAATTCATTCAGAACACACATTTATATTCCAGGCCCATCCGCACAACATAACTCTTCAGAGTGTCTTCTTCTAGCCCATTATGCCAGACTCATCTTGATATGACCGAAGATCCCTTCCTCTCTCCCAAACACAAGGACCCCTGGAGTTGAAACTACACCTATTACATATTTACTATCAAGGATACATGCAGGGAAAGAAAGAGAGGAACAATGAAAACTGAGAAAAACATTTCCACTCCATTCTACCTGTATTCTGGTCACAGGACCAACTATCTGGAAGGACTGAGGGGTCAATGTTCCCACGAAGCCGCCTCCATTTCTCACAGTTCGGGGAGGAACACTGGACCCAGACTAGGCATTGACCTGTGACAGGAAAAAAACTGAAATAAGAGACTAAAAAATATGCTCTTCCTTCTTCACTCCAACTAAAATCAATATACACTCTGCCAGAATCACAATGCCTTAGAGATCAACTAGTCCAATCCTTGACTTATAAATGGGAAAAATAAGGCTCAGAGAAAATAATTGACTTTCTGAAGATCAGTCTACATTGGTGGCAGAGCTGAACTTAGAACCCAGGTCTCACATCTCAATCTTTCTCCTATACCATGCTATCATCTCTCCCCTTCCCAGGGCAGAAAGGAGTGTTTCCTGTACTAACAGTTCTTAAAAAGGTTGCCTGGCATCTTTCTAGCTAGTGCCTCGTCTTCTGCTGGCATATCATTACTGAAAAGTTCTTTTGAAGGGCCACCCAGCATCTCTTTTGTGCACAAAATCCAGAGTTCCTATCTGAACCTCAACTGATTTACGTGTCACCAAATAGCTAAGTTGCAGCCTTTGAGACCAAGAGTCCTGGGTTCACCCCCCTCCAAAAGACACAAGTCAAAATCTATCATTTCTCAATCAACTATTTTCTTTAGGCCCTGTTCAAAAGCCAAGAATTCCTTTTATCTATTACCTTCTAAACTCTCATCACCGCCCTTCTCTATCCCCACATCTTCTAAGTCGACCCAGTGCCCCTCACGGCCTCTCGTTTCTCACTCCCAAACCCTTCCACCACTGTGTTCTTTGGAATTCTAGACAAGAGCAACAAAGGTCCACATATCCTCAACCTCTTCTCTGAACCTCTATCCCCTTTTTGAAACCTAGTGACACACTAATGACACTGCCTCTACCCGACCCTACCCCCACCCACAGCCCTCCAAGTGGAGTCAGTTCCTTCTCACACATCCCACATCTCTCAGGTCAGCAAATGGGGTCAGCATCATCTTTACTCCCCACTGTCCCTTCCAGATCATCACTATCCACCCTCCTATAAAAATCCTTCCTCCCTTGAGGTCCATGCCCTGGGACGACACTGCCCTCCCATCTCCCTTGTAAAGATGCTGACATCTGGTTCAGCCTTCTCCTCCTCCTGCCCTCATTCCAGATAACCACTGTTTCCACAGGAGTAACTCACAAAGCACCCCACTATCCGAGTTCCTTGACCTTCTCTTCCACGCCACCTCAGTAACCCACTTCACTTCAGCAACCCACTCCCACTCCTGCATGCCCCACCCAGTAATCTGCAGGGACCACCAAGTGCCCTGAAACAGTTATCCAAACATCCCTCTCTGATAAAAATACCCCATCCTTCCACTTCGCTTGCTCAAAGACCCCTACTGCAACTTTTACTTTATCTAGATCTCCAATCCACTGGCCCCTACCTTCCTCTCAATCTAGTAGCAATCTCCTTCTTCACGCTGGACTTACTCAGGTTTGATTCCTTAGATTCTCTTGCAGACATCTTCAACTCCCCTTCCCTCTGTCCTTCCTCCCACCCAGCTGGCAAAACACAACCCTGAATGAGCCCACTCTACCTTTTCTGTGTCTATACTCATTCAATTGAGAGTTGCTAGAGAAAAATCACACAACCAGGCATGTAGGTACACTATATATTCACAATTAACATCAACCAATATGTTTCTCTAGTAAGTTCACTCTCCTACTGTCAAATTACCTTAAATGCCTGACCATAAGGGATGCCCCTCCATCCCACTGAAATCATCCCTCAGAAAAGCAGCTGACTACATTTGGGTCCTTTCAAAATATCTCATATTATGGGTAGCTGTCTCAATTACTTTATTTTGAAGAACAAAGTACTGGTTGGGAATAACATATTAGTCTGAAATGACAGTTGCCAATGATAGTTTTGGATATTTATAGAGGTGACCTACCAAGGCTAGAAAAAAAGAGTGGGAGAAGGGGCCAGGGACCATAAAAGTAAACACAGATCAACAAAATAAATGATTGGTTGTGAAAATAATGAATATTCATGAGAAAAAGAGTGGGAAAAAATCATTCTAATGATATAGAACTAGATATTTGTGGCTTGGGATGAAATTTCCAATGACAGCAACATACAGTTCTTTAAAGTTTCCTTTCAAACAACTTAGAAAGAAAAAACGATGTGCTCCAGAAAACTGTGTTTGAGGCTCACAGTGTCGCTCTATGTTAATGAAGATGATGTCATAGACACACATTAAGAGCATTTCAGTTGACGGATCATTTCTGAAACACTAGTTTTCTCGGATTCTGTGATCCCTCATTCCCTGTTTCCCCCTCTCATCTTTCTGGCAGCTCCCTCCTCAGTCTCCTTCACTAGGTTCTCCTCCTTCACCCAATTTCTAAATGTTGGGGTTCCAAAGCTCAATCATAGGTCTTCACTCCCCATACTACACTTTCTCCTGAGGCAAGCTCACCCATTCCCATAGCTTTGGAATCCATTTTCATACCTGACAATACACAGATGTATACTAACAGCCTCCTATCTGAGTTCTAGATTCCTACAGCCATGGTGCTCTTTGACATCTCTATTTGAATGTCTCACAATGATCTCAAACCTGATGGGTCCCAACCTGATCCCACAATTTGCTCTTCCTCCACTTTTTCCCACCTCCTTTCACATAACTGCTCAAGCCAGAAGCCAATCATCTTTGACATACCCTTTCCTCTCTCTCACCCCCCAATATCCAATTCATTACCAAGTTCTAACAACTTTACATCCAAAACATACCTTAAAACCATTCACTTCTCTGTCTCCACCTTCATCATCCTAATCCAAATCACCAAAATACCTAATCCTAGCTCTAACTTCTTAACTGGTCTACTCTTGTCTCCCCATATTCCATTCTCCAATTAATCACCAAAGGGACCTTTTAAAACATTAAGTTGATGATGTCACTCCCCTGGTTAAAACCCACCAATGGCTTCCCACTACACTTAGGATAACATTCTCACTTTGTAACGTGGTGTTTGATCTAACCACTGCCTACCTCTTTACATTTATCCAGAGCCACTTTCCTGCCTTGCTTCCCCTGCTCTCTGAACTCCAATCACACTGGCTTTCTTTTAGTACCTGGAATACGCCAGACTTCACCCTACCTAAAACTCTTTCTCCTTCTCTTCACTTGGCTAACTTCTACTATTCCTTCAGGTCTCAGCTTCAATGTTATTTCCTTACAAATGCATTCCCTGACTGTTCCAATCTTAATTAGGTCTCCATCACTTCCTCTTATGACACTCTTTTCTTTTTCTTCACAGTACTTAATGCAAATTGTATTTATTGGATACTCCTATTTCTACTTCCTACTCCAGGAGGACTCACCTCTCCTTGACAACTGTAAGAAACAGGAAGAGTGGTTCATTTATAGCAAGAAGCTTACACATTCACTACAATCACAATTCGACTCACAAGTACTGCCAAAGGAGTGAACTTCCATCTCCCAGTCTAAAATCCAATCCTTGCCCTAATACTGAGAGGTACAGGACAACCAGATCACCTGACTGCCCAAATTAGACCTATACCTCCAGCTCCTTATAATACCATGTCATATAACCTGAGGAGCAGTTTATTGCCCTGGACTATTGATACTGGCTCAAGACAAGGTTGACATGAGGTAAGCTACTGTAGAAAAGAAACCCTACTATAACTTTGAATGACCTCTGACAAACTAACCCAGTTGGATATGCACCCTCCAGGAGATCTAACTGCTCTGTAGATTTTACAACCCCTGCTTGTACATGTACCTCCCAGCTGCGATAAGGTGATAACTTTGTTCTTTTGAGTTCCTTAGGAATGTGATGATCACTGAACAAGGAGTCTATGCTGATAGCCGTCATCAATGAAAACTGAAAGATCTGGTGTGGCACTCCCAGTCTGTAACACCAGAAGGTCAACATTCCTAATCCCCTCCCCTATAACTCATCAGCCTATATAACTGCCATAAAATTTTGTGCCCCCTGAAGATGGTTTTTTTTTTGGACATTAGTCAGCCATCTTCCCTCTTGCTAGCAAGCTGTAATAAAAAGTCCTTTTTATCCTACCACCTTGCCTCTTGACTACTGGCATGTCTTGCGGTGGGCAGACGAACCCCCTTTGGGCGGTAACATTATCTTGTTTGGTGCCTGCATAGTCTTCTTACAATTTTCTCTCAAGTATGTACAAACCATATTATGCTTCTCTAATCAAAATTATAAACATACACACATACATATTAGACACTAGCTGACTGTTTATTCCATTGTTCCTTATACATTGGGTTCTGTTTCTTCGGCACAAGACTGTTTTCCTCTAGATTCTTAAGTCTACTTATTTTCAAAATTTTAAACATACTAATATATTGTATGATCTATTTTATTTCTCTTCTTAAAATTTCCCAATTTAACCAAGTTTTTTTCATATAATATATTTATTTACTATCTAACACACGGAAACCAAAAATTCTATGAAGGCAAGGATTTTATCTATTTTTTTCACCACTGTATTTCCAGCACATAGGATAAGGCATTAATAACTATTCTTAAAAGAATAAATCAATCTATATCCGTCCTTATCATTCCTCCATCCAATCTCAAAAGTCAAGGTGTCCTTTCTGACTAAGAATAAACCCTCTGGTTCTCTCCTCATTCCCTTTAATCTCTCCTTCTCTATAAACAATTTTCCCTCAGCATGTAAACTGAGGTCACCCTCAGCCTATGCAGCACACAGGTCAAGCCTCTTTCTTTTAAAAGAAAGTTAAAAAAAAAAAAACTTTCCCTCAACTCTATACCCACTCCCCTTTATTTACCATTTTCTCCCTCCTAGTTTCACATCTACACTAATTGAAAAAAGCATTTGTTCTTCAACCAACTATAATCTGTCATTCACCTTTATCAACACATATGGTTGCTCTACTCAAGACACTAATGACTTCCTAATTGTGATATCCGGTGAGCATTTTCAAATCTTTATCCTCTTTGATGTCTCTGCAGTAGCATTTGACAAGGCTAAACACTCCCTCTTTCTTGAAATTTCCTCCTCCCCTGGCGTCTATGATACCACACTCTCCTAGTTTTCCTCCTGCCTTTCTGAGTTTTCTCTTAGTTCTTTTTAGTTGTTCCCTGGGCAGCTCTTTCTCTGTTCAACCCTAAACTTTACGTTCCCCCAGGGGGTTTTTATTCAGTGCTCTTCTCTTTTCACTCCACACCTTCTTCTTAGAAAATTTCACCCATTCCTACTGATACAGATCACTCCCAAATCTGTCTCCAGCCCAGATCTCTTTCTTGAGCTCTAAATCTCATCACAGACCCCCTAACTTGTCCAAAGCTGAATTCATCACCTGAAACTGGCTCTTTCTTCTACATACTCCATTTCAGGTCATAGTTCTTTCAGCCACTCAGTCACTCATGCCAGAAAACAGGATCATCCTAGAGGCCTCCCTCTTCCTCAGCTCTCATATCCAACTGGCAATCATATCATATTGATCCTGCCTCCTAAAGATCTCAAATTTGTCTCCTCCTTTTCATTGCTACTATCTTCCTTGCTTGGACACTATTTCTATGGGTCTAGTCTTGCCTTCCTTCAATCCATCTTCCATGCTAGCATAGGGGAGCTTTCTAAAATGCAAATCTTATCAAGTTTCCCCTACTTAATGTCAATGGTTCTCTTTACCTTTAAAGATTTTATTTATTTATTTTTCCCCCCAAAGCCCCAGTAGATAGTTGTGTGTCACAGCTGCACATCCTTCTAGTTGCTGTATGTGGGACGCGGCCTCAGCATGGCCGGAGAAGCAGCGCGTCGGTGCGAGCCCGGGATCCGAACCCGGGTCGCCAGCAGTGGAGCGCGCTCACTTAACCACCAAGCCACGGGGCCGGCCCTTTACCTTTAAAATAAAATCCAAATTCCTTAGGTTGACATGTAAGGCTCTTTATGATCTGGCCCTTGCATGCCTCTAGTCTTATCTCCCCTATTCCTACAACCCCCAACATACCCAAAAGCTACAACCATTAGCCCTCCTCCATAACTTTGCCAATAATTATCCCTCTGACCTCCATTCCCACCTTAGTTCGCCTGACTAAATTATACTTTAAGATCTGAGTCAAGCAATATCTTTTCTTGGAAACTTTTCCTGGTCTACTCCCAACTTGTAGCTTTCTTGTCTGCCTTCCCCACAAGCCTATATCCCTTATGGCAGGCTTATATTCATTTCCTCTGCATTTACTCAGCACCTCCTAGAGGCACCCAACAACTATGGATTATATGAAGGAATATTGAATGAATGAAAACATTCTCTCTCTTCCTCAGCAGTATATCCTCTAACAAATAGCTGTGAGAGATAAATTATAATCTTTGCAGAATTTCTTTTAACATCCTAACCTTTGCCTCTCCCCTCCATCTCCAATTTTCAAGCCTAAGTAAGTTTTCCAAACCATGGCTGAACTCACCAAAACCACTTCCCTCTCCTTTTTGTTGGTCCCTGATCTGAGAATTATCCTGAACTGCTTTTTTCAGTTGGTCTTTCTGTCTGTGGTCATGTCCACTTTGGGCTTTCTCCATTTTCTCATCTTCTGGGAAGATAAAACAAAACATTGTAGGGTAGGGAGATGAGGAAGAGATTCTTTGTAGATAGTAAAGGCCAGTGAAAGAAAGAAGAAGAATCATAGCCTAATAGTTTCCAGCCTTGGGCTGACAATTCTCAGCCTGCCCACTATTCCTTTCCCTAATTTCGTGAAGTAATAACTTGAGCCAGTTGTCAAAGTATATCTGGCTACACTTACGAGCTTCTTTCTTCCTTTTGCTTGAGGAGAGTCTATTGAATTTCTTTTCAGAGGGTGCAGGATCTGGCTGGCCTGGCTTAGATGTCTTTATCTCAGGGATTATTCCATCTTCCTGAGAAGCTGAAATTTCTAGAATACGAGGTACCATTACCATATCTCTGAAAACAAGATTTTTTTTTTTATTGAAAAGGTAAAAAGAAGCAATTTGCAGTACCCTTCTGTCGAAAAAACCCAAGGATAAAAGTCAGGAGGATAGAAGAATCTGGGGCTTCTAAGTCCTCCTGAGGTCATTTTATCCATCTACTTGCCTATTTTTCCCAATTCAAACATGTATCTTTCCTGAGCCGAGAGAAATCTATAGAGATATGAAAAATGACTAAATAGGTAGATTACCATGTACCAATGTTAAGTCCACCTTATGATCAACTTGCCTCACTGGGATAAACTTACCCATCAGCATTATCATTATCAGTAGTAGAAGAAGCAATTCCTGGTTCCTTGTCTAATTGGGTACATCTTATGGGCTGGGCACAGGAAATCTCTGGAAAATCAAGGCTAGATCCCATCCCTCCCAAAACAAAATACCATAAGCAGAGAAGCAATTAAAGAAGATAACCACACCATTACTTCCAAACCGTAACCTTCCATTAAACTGTCTCTCACCTGTTGCCTGGAAGAACCTACCTTTGGACTTTTGTCATATCATAGAAGTTTAAGTCCTTAAATTCTCAGGAAAACTAGAAATCTATATCTTTCTGCAAGCCTTTCCGGATTGATCTGCCTCATTCAAGGATAGCTAGGTAACGTTAATTTTCTTTTGTGTCCATAACATAAATTTTATGTACTGCGTTTTGTAACATTTGTTCCACAAACTTTCCCTAGGAGTAGAAGTACACCTAAGAATAGCTGAAAATGCCAGACCATTCTCCTTAGCCTCATGGAGAAGGCCTCAGGGCCTACACTATAGAGTTCTTTATTCTAAAAATCAAATCCCTGAGCATATGTTAAAACAGTATTGGAAACAGAAATATAAGAAATATGCAAGGATAGATGGAAACTAAGTTCTTCAAATCTGGGAAAAACAATTTATCTTTTTTGAGTAGATTGTAAACATATAAAAATGAATTTAAATTACATTTTAAAAATCTAGATGAGACTATATTTATATTCTGAAGTCAGTTTAATCTACTTTTCTAAAAGTCTGTAACCCCTGTCTAAGGTGGTTTAGCTATAATCCTGTTGATAGAAGATGAAGTATTTAAAAATATTTCAAAGTCCCATCTAATATATAGTTACTTAGGAAGAGGGAGGGAAAGAGAGAAGCTGTCAACTTACTCTCTTCCTCAAATAACAGTTTCTTTGTCTAACTTAAACTCTTTTTCTCTCACTATAAGCCATACCCAAGCACTCCTGGAGGGACTTCTGTAGCACAATCTGGATAATCTCCTCAAATTCTGCATTGGTAAGACTTGATTTTTCCTGCAGAGACAAGGGTAGACAAGGAAAACCACTCATCTTTCCCCCGTTCTCCTCTCTGACCAGTCTGGGAAGCCTCCTTTAGATGAGGCAATAAGTTCACAAGGCTGAGAGCATGAAGTCAATGTATCTCAGGATTCCATAAACTCTATCCCAGATCTCCTGGGAATAAAGGAGTCAAAGAAAAGCAAAAAGTTTATAAAGTCTCTGTCTACTTCTACCCTCACCTCCATTCCACCTTAACCTCTATCTACCCATTATTTCCTGCTAAATGCTTTCATCAAAACATTTTTGACCTCTTTGAGAAGAAAATAGAAGCCCCAAGAAAGGAATAAAAAAACTGAAAGTACAGGCTGAATTTCCCCACCATGAAATGATTGTGTGTGTCTAGGCTGGGTGACGAGGAGAACCTGTCCCACTAGAGCTTATCAATGTCACTGATACCTTTTCTTTCTTCTCTGCTTGCTTGTTGTCTTGAGCCTTTCCTTTTTTCTCCTGGCCACTGCTTGGATTATTCTCTGTGGTTGCTTTCTTCTCCTTCTTCTTTAACCTGGCCTTTGGCAGGCTTGGCTTGTCCTCTGTCTCTGAGGTACTAATCCCCAGGGTCTCCTCCTTGGGTGAGTTGGAGCTACAGGGCATCAGGCTATGCAATTTTTGTGCAGGTGGGGCAAAGGTTTTCTTTGGTCCTTTCCCATATTCTAAAAAGAAATTTGATCATCAAATGGAATTTATGAAACATAGAGTCTAACACAGAGACTGCCAAACAGTGCCCACTGACTGGCCATACCAGAATTATCTGGAGAAAGCTTTTAACAAATTCAGATTTCTAGGCCTCTCCTCACCCACTCCCACCTCCCCTGCCCTGAGATTCTGATGAAGTAGTTTGAAGTGAGGCCCAGGAATCTGTGATTTTACAAGGCTATCTAGATGATTCTGATGTACTTCCAGATTTAGGAACCACTGAGTAATGCAAAGGTGATAAATATAAGCATGCAGGAAACTGAATTATTCAAACGCTAAATTTTTTAAATTTGCTCATTGTAACTTTGGACAAAATTTTATGGGAAATTAGAGAAATTGAAAAAAAAAAACTAGTCAAAATCTACAAATGATGCAATGAAAACTGTACTGATCCTCCCAGGCATAAGTAATATCTCTTTCTTCTGAGCTTCCATAACAATTTGTACCTGTCTGGTGGCATTTACCACATTCAAATTTATGTTCTAGATATTTAAACATCTTTTCTCTCCCTATGAGTTCATACATTCCTTGAGCAGGACTGTTTCTAAATCATATATATTTCACTCAAAGTATCGCGAAAAGTAGTAACTTTAACAGAGCGGACACAAAATATATGTGAACTGAGCTTCAGTGGGAATCTGGTACCCTTGGTCCAAATGACCAAGAGCTGAGAAAGAAAGGAAAAATGAGAGAAATATATAAAGTGAGCCTCCCTCACTCTCGACTCACCTTTACTCTGCAATGTTGTCATCATTCAGCTCAGAAGCTACACCTTCTTTGTGCCTCTGTTAGAAAAAAGAAATTAACTGCTATGACTCTGATTGAACATGATTTTAAACTTTTTTCTCTCCCCGCTCCCTTTTTTTTTTGTGAGGAAGATCAGCCCTGAGCTAACATCCATGCCAATCCTCCTCTTTTTGCTGAGGAAGACCGGCCCTGAGCTAACATCTATTGCCAATCCTCCTCCTTTTTCTCCCTTTTTCTCCCCAAAGCCCCAGTAGATAGTTGCATGTCATAGTTGCACATCCGTCTAGTTGCTGTATGTGGGATGCCACCTCAGCATGGCCGCCCAAGCGGTGCGTTGGTGCGCACCCAGGATCTGAACTCAGGCCACCAGTAGTGGAGCACGCGCACTTAACTGCTAAGCCACGGGGCCGGCCCCTCTCCCCTTTCTTCTTGGGTTCAGGATCTCTTTGCCTGGGACCCCTGACCTAAACTTTCTGCCTTCTTGACTACACTTCTACCTCCTCAGCAGTGCCCATTACATATCAGGGAATAACGAGAGTTACTGTTAAGATTAGCAACCATCCGGGCCCTCCCGTGGCTTAGCGGTTGGGTGCGCGTGCTCCGCTACTGGCAGCCCGGGTTCGGATCCCGGGCGCGCACCGACGCACTGCTTCTCCGGCCATGCTGAGGCCGCGTCCCACATACAGCAACTAGAAAGATGTGTAACTATGACATACAACTATCTACTGAGGCTTTGGGGGAAAAAAAGGAGGAGGATTGACAATAGATGTTAGCTCAGAGCCAGTCTTCCTCAGCAAAAAGGGGAGGATTAGCACGGATGTTAGCTCAGGGCTGATCTTCCTCACAAAAAAAAAAAGATTAGCAACCATCCTTAGCGTCTGAAGTGCCTAGAACCACGTCCAACATGAGGTAGGTACTTATCAGCAGGTGGCAGTGGTAGTGATGTATTAAAAAACAAAATTCAACTGAGTAAATTTTGAAGATCTTATTGGCTTCATTCAACGATTTATGAATCGGAAGGGAGCAGAAGGGAGCAGACACAAGGAAGTTATACTAGGGAGAAAAGTGGATTGGTTATTGCCCGGTTACCTTCCTTTAGAGGATGCCAGGGGTCTATCAGGCAGATTACCTAACTAGAGCTGAGCAAGCGATTCCTGATTGACTGGTTTAAGATTCCATTTCTGGGAGAGCCAAAACTATAATTTAAGTTAAGTCTGGGTTTGGCGATGTGGGGCTTAGCATAAGCAACTCCATTTGGGGCCTGTTGTCTTGTTTTTAACAGATGGAAGTGTAAGTAGTAGTAGTAGGGTATGGACGTTCCTGGGAGTTAAAGAGTGAGAGTTTTCTTCAGAGGGTAACCTCATTTCACTAGGTTCTCCTAAATGCTTAAAACACAAATAATCTGGCAATTCTCTGACCTAATTCAGAGGTCCCTGTGTGTAGAGAACTCCTTTTTTTAACGTTACTGTAATGTATATCTTTCCTTTACTTGGGTCTTCGAGTCCAGTACATTTCCCAATGTGCTAGATTCTAGCAATCTCTATTCATGGCTCAGAAATATTTGGTTAACCAGCAGAGATCCCCAGAGAAGCTAGTAATAAGAATCTAGCACCTTCACTCTATATCCATAGTTCATTTGTAGCTATCTACTCACAGATATTCTACACTACATCAATATGCTTCATTATTAGTACCAAAATTGTGACTAATAATAATGGTTAATACTTACTGAACACTGACTTTATTCTTTACCCTTTACATATGTCATCTTATTTAATTCTCACAATAAATCTATGAGATAGATACCATTTTACACTTGGGGAAATTGAAGCTTAGAGGAATTTAGAGATATTAAGTAATTGACAAGTGGTAAAATCAGGATTAGAATCTGTCTGATTTAAAAGTCTGTGCTATTAACTGTGCTATGCTACATCCCAATAGTCTAGTTCAGTGCTTCACAACCATTTTAAGGTCACCACACACATGAAAAGCATCCACTAAAAGTACACATCGAAACACAAGGAAAATTATATTTCTAGGTACTCTGGAGTGAAAGGACCGGGCTGTTCACAGCCATAGGTAACTTAGGGGTTAGAGTTGTGGGTCCTCCAGTCACACAAAGGCTGAAGAGGTTAGTATATCCACAGCTATAAGCCATTTGCGGCCCAGCAGAGTGCCAAGACTCATCTTGTGATGTTCCAATAATTTATACATTTTTCCAATTTACACTTTCCACTATTGATATTATTTCTACCCAGCTGTTAGAAGAGAACTGCCTTTTGTTTTACCAGCTTAAGCTTCTTACAACCCTTCTACTCAGTATTCTTTAGTCTTAGAGCATATAAGCCATTCTTATTTTTGTAACAATTATAACAAGCATTGTAGCTCTGGGAAGATCTCTAGAGATCATAAAGTACCGTCTCCCCTTTCTGCCGATGAAAAAATATGCAAAAAGAGGTTAAGTGGTTTGCCCAAAGCCTCAGTGTTAATACATGGTAGAGCCAACATGAACCCAGGCCTTTGGCTTGTAAACTCTACTAAAAACATGTCTATTCTTCTCAATGATCTTATTTCTGGCTGCTGGTTTTGAGTACTTTGAAGGCCCTACACCTGAAACTCAATCTTCCAACTGTGCCATTTTCCACTATAGAGAGACCCAAAAGCAGCGTAAAATGGATCTTTTGGTTCATATATACTTCCCCTTAAAGGATCTGAAAATTTTAAGACCCTCAAATGGCCAGGCTATAGTAAAAACTCAGTTGTTCAGGGTGTAGAGTTCCTCCCTCTAGATCTCAAGATAAATTCAAAAGGTGTTGGGGTTTTGACTTAGCGTGGTCACAGCATGGCTGAACGTAAAGTATTTTTAAATTATCTTTTGGTATTTTTCTGTCCTTTTCTTAATTCTATAAATGTGAATAATTCAGATGTGTTGTTCTGCAGTAACTACTTTTCCTTTATATCAAGGAGAACATTTCTCACTGTTTCCATCTTAATTCATCACCACCAACCTTCAAACTTATTTGCTCCAGGAAAAAAGACAAATGGGAAATTAGGGGAGAAACATTGCAGCAAATTGGTCTCCTTCTTTATGTTAATCCTAAATAGAAGCTAGACATTGAATAAAATTAGGCTGCAAAAGAAATATTAATTTGGCCATAAATGACAAACATATCTTCTCCCAGACTCCGAAATACCAAAAATGATCATGAGAAGTCCCCATGAAGGTAAACTAAATTACAAGAGGAGCTATACTAAATGAGAAAAGCAAAATGAAAATTAGTGTATTTGAGATGGCAACATTCAATTTTTAAAAATGTACATATACATAATATTCTTATATATCCATAAACTATCTCTAGAAGAATATACAAGAAACTGACAAAAATGCCTCTGGGAGTGGAACTGGGTGGCTGGGTGTGAAGGGAGCTTTTTACTGTATCCCCTTGTGTATCTCTAGCATTTTATAACATACATATATTACCACTTCAACAGTGATTTTTTAAATTTTAAGTTCTTCAAGTATAATAAAAAGAGTATATTGATCAACCTAAAAATGCAACATTTTCCAATATTTAGTTTCAAATCATTATCTAAACCTACACTGACCTCTCTAGGCCAAAGTGCGTTACTGGAGCCCCAACCAACTGGATAAAATTGGTGGATCGTTGTATAATTAATGTGGATTATTAATGAGATGTAGTAAATCTATAAGCAGTGATGTATAATAGTTCCCCTTAATTTAGAGTGGGGGTGTGAAGAAGCACATTAAAGAAAATCTCTAACCTGATCAACAGAGAAGGGAAATCCAGGTAGTCACTGACAACTCAAGTGTCTGCTCCTCTGTTTCAGACAAACTATTTTCTTCCACAATAACAAATATTGAAATCTAGTTCAGAGGGAAAAATTTTTAAAAAGAGTTAATAAATATACAAAATACCACCAACTTTCAACTGATCAGCTACTAAATGACTATGGGCTCTAAACCCAGGAGTAACATTTGACATTTTAACTTCTCTTTTCTTACCTTAGATGAGAAAGAGAAAAAAAAAAACCTAATAAAGCTTTAAATATGAAAATAAAAGAAAGTTCCATAAACCAGATCCTACCCACTCAACATAAGAAAGAGGAGTGAATAAGGAAGAGAAAAGAACTCAGAAATAACTGATAAAGGGAACCAAGGGGAGGTGAATGAGGTGTTCCAAAAAATAGACAGTTTTCCTACACTTAGAACGCTAGAAATCATCACACTGATTTTAAGATGAAATCACCTAGCTCAGGGGTTCTCAAAGTGTGATCCTGGGGGACCCCTGGGGGTCCCCTCCCTTTTCTAGCTACTTATCTGTGTTAGGCTGGATTTCCTCATATACTTCAACCAAAACAAGATATCATAAGAGATAGAATTCAAAAACAGATGAAAACCCAGCTGTATTCTCTTCAGCCAAGAATGAAAGAGATTTGCCAAAATGTAAAACAATGCCATTCTTCACACTAAATTTTCTTTCATTTAGGCAAATATATTTTTCATAAAAATGTTATTTATATTAACATGTAATTATTTTATTATCATTTTAAAATTAATAAATAAATGTTTAAAATTTTTGTTTAATCTCTAATATATTAATATCAATAGAAATAAACCAATCTTTGAAGTCTTCCATAATTTTTAAGAGTATAAAAGAGTTCTGAGACCAAAATGTCTGAGAACTGATCTAGCTAAATAACTTAATTCAGTCTTGTCAATATTTTTCAGAAAGCATTAATCCTCCTCCCACCTCCCCCTGTTTAGAATGTCTTCACAAATTTCCCCCTCCTAACTATCCCATTTTCCCTCTTTATATTGTTCCTGGAATCCTTGGTCTAAGAATAAAAGCAAGCCCCTTAGAATTGTCCTCTAACACAGACTCTGAGAGCCTCAAAAAACTGTATTTAAAGACTGTATTTAAAATCTCCTTTAAACTGGAGTTTAATTTCCTTGTGGCATTAATGTCTAATGGCATGTAAACCCCTGCTTATTTTCATGACTGGATTAGTAACAGTAGTTCTTTTCTTTTGTTTCTTCTTCTGCTTTTTTTGTGCTCAGTGAGCATGATTTAAAACATTTAACAAGACACAAGGACAAAAAAGAAAGATTCCAGCTACCCTTACTGCCCATACTAGACCACTTAAAGCATTAAATGTCATAACTACTTGAACTAAACCGTTTACAGACTCATGAATAAATGCACGGTAACTAAAGCTTCTTGGTTCAGAGAGGGCAAGGAAGCACGGGGACGCGGCCACTTATCACCAATATACAGGCTCTTTCTTTCGGGACTCTCATCTCCTCCAAACTCTTGCTATCCACCGCCTGAAATGCTTCCTCACGTGCCTCTGCTACCGACCTCAAACTAGCCTTTTTGTGTTGCTTTGGCTTCAAGCAGCACATCCCCCGCACCATTTCCCCTCACCAGGTGCCAAAGTGTGGAACAGGGAAGGGCCTGACTCCACCTTTAAAACCAAAGGAAAGAACTCTGGGTCTTCCGCATTTTCCTTCTCTTCCCTCACCAATTCTCCCTTGAGGACAGCAATTACGAAGGGAGGTTTCACAGAGTCGAAAGTCCTTGACTGCCCTCAAAGAGTGGCTTTCTAGCCTCTTCCCCGTCAAGAATCCCATCACCAGAGACTTGCCCCTCAGCTGCACCCCTCTGCCCCCACACACAGAGGCACCACGATTCTCATCCTCGCTCAGCCCGTCCTTGCCCGCCATCATATTGGGTTACTTTTGCGTGTCTGTTGGGGGTGAGTTTGCGGTTAGAGAGCCTAAGCAGGAGGCGCAAGAGTTGGCTGTCCCCTGAGGAGAAAAGTTCTCCTCAGGCCACAAGTACCAGGACTGGCCGCGCCTAGCCTAGCACCCTCATCTGCAACCGGAGAAGAGCCAGCTACCTTCTGGAGTGAAGAGGACCTAACGGCGAGGAGCAGAGTGAGCTACTGCAGCGATTCTCCAAGCCCCTCCAACCTCGACACCGTTTTCCCGCCACCAAGAAGAGGTGCGAGGCCCACGCACAAGCTCCACCCCCTCCTCAGCGGCTTCTGCCCAGGGCTGAGGCGCATGCGCAGCTGGAAGCCGCTTCTGCGTTTGCGCGGCGATTTCCGCCATCTTCCAACCAAACGCCCTGTAAAACTACTAATCCCATAATTCTCGCTAGCCTCACTTTTTTTAGGCGGCAGCTGCAGCGCCTGATCGTTCGTGAAGCACCTCTTCCTTTTACTAACTTTTCTGTGTCCCAGACTGCCTTTTCGTTCCCCGATTCCTATTCTTCCTTTTAGTCTCCTTCACGCCCTTATTTTAATATTTTATTTGAGACTATTGTGAACCCCACTCTCACCTCTCCTGCCCTCTTCTCAGCCACAGGCCCCGCACCCCCAGCACTGTTGGCAGGGAGAACGGGCCACCTAGCACCCCGTGGAAAGGGGGTCGAATAGCTTCTTCCCCATTGGCCGAGGCAGGGGGCCCAAAGCAGGCCGAAATCTCTTCCCCGCCCACATTCGTTTTTCTACAAGGCGGCGCGAAGCCGCAGCGTGTGCATTCGGGAAGGCCTGCGTGCGAGGTGGCGGTGGAGGTGGATGGACTGCTGGTGGTTGCTGTGGTGGGCGTCGGGGTCGCAGCCCGCGGGCTGGGGGCTCGTGCGCAGGCGTCGGGTGGTGGGCGGAGGTGTTGGTGTCTGGGCTGTGGGTGTGGAGGCGGAGAGGAGGGCGTGGTGTCCCCAGGTGATCGCGATTCGGCGAAGGCGGAGGAGCGAGAGAACGACTCGGCCATTTCGAGGGAAGAGGAAGTTGGACAACATCGGCTGTTTTAGTGCCTTTCTTTTTTTTCTTTTCAGTTCAGCAGAGAATATTTGCCAGAGGGGTGAGTTAAAATGACCTATCGTATTTTACTGAGAGCAGTTCGTAGGAAGACGGTCAGTATAATCCGCTCCTTCCCTTCCTCTACTTTTAGGTTCACCCCTCCGTTTCCTCAGCTCTTCTAAGTAGGGGGG